ATTAACTTCTATCTTAACTAAGTTAAATTTTCAAGGTTGTTAACTTTAACTTAACTTAGTTAAAAGAAAAAATTAACTTACCCAACCCTGAATATTTCATATAAATATAGTTATATTTGTTACGATATAATCTTTTTTGTACTTTCGCGCTATCTATTAGCGGTAATATTATCGACCTCGTATCATTTACACCATTATCGATGCATTACTAACGACATCTACGTATTGTAACTTTTTATCCTATAAGTTACCAGCACTGTTACGCGCGCCTCACTTCCTTCTTCTTCGCGCCTTTTTGTCGTTATCGTGTACGCGCCTCAGCTTGCTGTGTTCTTTACTTGAAAATACATTATCCGACTATTTCTAGTTCGTTGTGTTTGTTCCTGATCACCTCACAACAATGTTATATATATATAACAGATTAAATATAATTTTTTATATTTCCCTCCTAACGGAAGAGACCATCACTTTCTTGCGGTTTCCGTCGAGCAACGATACGTACGTATATGTACATGAATAGAAACTTCAATAAAAGTGAAAAGAATACAAAAATTGTAAGGTATAATTCAATAGTAAATCCTGGCTGAGGTAATATTTTTCGCAATAAGTTCTTTACTATATTAATTTAGGAGGGATTATTTCATATATAAGAATGTTTGAACGTTTCAGCGCCTCATTGTATTAACATCACGGATTGATTGTGGTTAACGTTCGAACGGCGCAGTCACATCTGAGATAATTAAATTTAAAAATTAAGAATTTGTATTGTATTGTATCTCACTTTAACCGATTATTGGCGTTTCTTGATATTTATCAAAAGTAAATGTTCAAATATCGTTTAAAGTGCCAAGGATAATTTTTCAATAATTTTTTACTCCAATACTATCAACTTCACAGAAAAATTGCAAGAAACAAAAATTATTTATTTTCTTCTCATAAAATTCTGAGAATTTTTTCAGAATTTTTTATCAACTTTTAAGTTTTGCATTTTCTTTTTTTATCAATATGAGAAAATACGGTATTTAAAAATTCTGAAAAAATTCTCAGAACTTTATGAGAAGAAAATAAGTAATTTATGTCTCTTGCAGTTTTTCTGTAAAGTTGATAGTATTTGAGTAAAAAATTATTCAAGACCAATATTTTGCAATCTTTAGTAATTAATATCTTGT